GGGAAAGGAGCAAAGTGTAGGCACCACCAGGAAGAGGCAAAAGGACCACAGGAGGAGACACACAGAACATTGGTACAGAGAAAAAGAAGAACCATTCCTACAGACGGGACTCAGGAGAGGAGAGAGGAGTGGGAAGAGAGAGAGAGAGCGCGCACGAGCAAACCGTTGTGCAAGGACGACCCAACTGACCTGAGTTCTGTTAAAAGCCACGCGTGCAAATACTGCCTGGGAGATCCCTGCTCGTTTCAGTTCATCGCGTACCCACTGGTAGATTTCGGAAGACACCTCTGTGTTGGTTGAAACCTGTTGCTCCAAAGGCTTATTCATAGATCTACTGACAGGGGGAGGGTGGTTCAAGTACTGCTGGTTTAAGGACTGCTGGGCTAAGAGTCTGTTCACTGCACACTGCTGTTTCAGAAGCTGAGCCATCACCAGCTGCTGGTTGACCAACTGAGGACTAATAGGCGTTGATACAAGCCCAGGGTGCAGGTTCGGAAGAGGGGTCCGGACAGAGGGCTGGCTGCCATGGGAGAGCTGTGCAGGGGACGGAGGCTGCTCGGCTGTGTTCCCTGGGACCGGCTGCTGGCCAAAATTGACATGGTTGGCACCTTGCTGGGAGAGTTCAGAAAGACTATCCATTTCAACTGAAGTAGACAAAAAGTAAAATCATATTCAGTCAACAGTGATGGCCATGGACACAGATTTCGGATCATTTCCTAAGTAAAAAGAGACAGGAGGCGCAGGGCACGGTGGAGGAAGCCAAGACCCTTTCGAGACGGAGCTCGCCAGGTGGACTTTCTCTTCCTCTTGTGAATAATTTCATATACTTTCAAAGTGATACGACACTAAGCTCTAATATGCTGTAAGACTGAACGCATAAAATCAATTACACCTAAATTCCTTGTGATTTAATTTTAGGGTCAAACTGTTAGGCATTCTCACTTATTACCCCAGAAAGGCTTATCAGCAATGATCTTCGTTTTAAAATGACTTCTAGAAGGAAATCATTTGCTCAATGGTAAACAGAAACTAGTGAGCTAAGAAAATAAGGTCATGATAATAAGCAATGAAAACAAAGAAAACTGGCAAATATTTTCTCTTGATACATATTAACTTGAGTACTTTAGGCAACAGACATGAAAGCAAAAAGATTTATCCTATGCTCATTTTTTTATCTAGCAGTGACTATAGAAAAACAGTCAATATAGCAAAGAAATCATAAAAATGGGCATAATCAACATATCAGAATATCTGAGTCTATATTCAACAATGTGCTGAGTATCTTATAGGGCTTGTTTCACTTCATTCTAACCACCAAGGGCAGTAGGTAACTCTGCAATACTTCTATAAATGAACCAACTGATTTATTGAACAGCAAACCAGTAAACCCACTGTCACTAAGACACACGTGGTTTTCCATGAAGCTACGGTCATCAGCAGATGCTGAAAGTAACCTCACAGGGAGCAGGGAGCAATCATCCTGGTACAAGGAAAAGCTGTCATGGTTCTGCAACTTGTTGCCACCTGCTCAGGATGACACTGCTCCTGTGGCTAGATCCCTCGCGTGGACTGGCTGAGAGTCAGCTCTAAATGTATCCAACGTAAGTTTTGTTGCTAGGAGAGGAGACTGGTTTGATGTCTTTAACTGGAAAGGCCAAGCATGGAGCTATACGCTAACAGGTAAGTCCTTCCAAACTGTGTACCACGCTTCCCATGTATAGACTTCAGTTTAATTTTAATCATCATTTCTCTTTTCTCTAAATATACAAGTTTTATATTTAGAGGAACTTACACTGCTATAGGCACTGATATATGCAAAATATAACTAAGAATTGGGGAAGAAACCTTCAATTTCTACCAATGATATGAGCCCAAGTGGGCCACTCACAGAGAATAGTAATTCAAGCAATTATTCCAAAAATGATACATCGTCTTCATTACAGTCCTGAGCTATAAAAAGGCAAAGGATCTGTTTTGGTAGATGGATGTTTTTTCTTCAAATATTAAAAGCTAAAACATGCTAAAAATTCAAGTTTTCTTGTCTCTTAAAATCCTTAGGATAAGTTATTGCTGCTGTTATTATTAAATGAATGTAACAGAGGTAAACAGAAATAGATTTAAAACAAAGCATAATGCTATGCATATTAAACATCCCATTCCGATACTATTTAAAAATATATTCTTGGGAAGGTACAGTATGTGAAAGAAAACATTAATAGAAATTTAAACATTAACCTTAAGCACAGTGTTTCCTTTTGTGAACACTAATCAACTCAACAGAAACAAAATCCCATACTCCAAATGCTTAGGGATGACCTGTAACTTTTACCTGTCATTTTACATTGCAGATAATTTTAATAGACTTTCTTTGTAGCAAATATTGACCTAAAATTATGTGGTAAGACAGAATGCTCTATCAGGAGTAAAAGTTCAGAAATGATGCAACGATCTCTCTGCTATGAATGATGAAGCAAGATGCTCACCAAAGTGCCTATCTGTGGGGGCTGGGACTAGAGCAATAATTTATTTTTTTTAATTTAAAAAAAGGGGGAGAAAACCTCACTTGATCTCAATTGTGGAAACAATACAGTTTAATTTATGAATACAGTTTAATTTCTATAAAAATTGGGTGCAAAAACAGGCTTTTACTCTTAAAGCAAAAAACTTAAAAGCATGACTTATCTCTGAGTGAAATCACAGCTAATATTAGTTATTCAAGGCCTGGTTAGGTCTTCACTGAGATGTTAAAAAATGACAGCTCCCCTCCTCACGCCTCGATTTCCTGCATGTCTGACAACCGAGTCAGTTTGGCTGATTTAAACACAAACATTTATTGAATTTAATTATCTCATTATACTCATACCCACTCCCCACCCCCAAAGAAACATTCTAAATTGATCTCTAATTGGGCAATCAAAAGACCTGGCTTTAGATGTGACTTTGATAAACCCCCAAATGACACGTAATGGTATGTGGCCCTGCTGCAACGTTTTTTTGCTTACCCATCATATCCTTTGTCTTCTTGAAATGTTTGTACCACCTTCCAAATTCTTGACATTTTGCTGCCGAGACATTTGCATAGTAAGTGCTGTTCACAATGGAGGAAATCATGCTCTGTGTGAAGAGGGGGGAGAACATTTGTAAAACACAGCGGCACACGATGGAACTCAGATACCATTTCAAGGGTGGAAACCGGATTTTTTAATCAATGCAATACCAATACATTTTTGTTTCACACTTGACCCTATAGCCTCAACTTCTGAAAAACGCATTACGTAGGTCATCACATACTTGTCTCCGTAGGAATCAGCAGCCCGTGACACCAGGACCAAGCTCTCAAACCCAACTTTAATCTAACGTGTATGAACTCCCATTAGTGTCATCAACTCCTAGGCTGATAAACTTTCACAGAGCCCAACCAACCCAACTATGCAAAGAAGGATTTATCATTCTAAGCCATCTGTATCAGCTCTGTTGAGGTTTGGTGAGTGGACTCTACAGTCTTGCTACTCAATATATGGTCCAGGGACCAACAATATGAACATGACCCAGAAGTCTGTTAGAAAGGCAGACTCTTGAGCCCTACCCCAGATCTAACCAATGTGCACCTTCACATTACCAAAATCCCCAGACAGCTCTTATGCCTATCACAGATTGAGAAACAGCACCGGCACTTTCCACTCCTACTACTTAGATTTCAATGGGAGGTTCACTAACACTGTGGAAAGACTAACTGACCACATTTGAGAAGAAAACAAACTATTCCCCGAGATCCTGTCAGAAGAAAACTACTCCAGAATCTGACGGCCAGCTTCATCTATAGAAGCTTAAGTTCTACACTTCAAACTACCCATACGAATTCTAAATACATCCATTTCATGCTTACTCACCCCTAAATTTCTCAAGGACATCACAAAGAAGAAAGACTCTCTGTCACTTTCCTTCAACCTGCTTTTAACAAAATGACTGAAAATAGTCAACCTTTTAAAGTTTAAAAATGGGGACTAGTAGATGGTGTAATCTGCTGGACATCAGCTGAACACCCGTGTAGTCAACTGTGGTTCAAATCCCGGACCCGGCGGCTTAAAACTCATGCTGGGCATGTGTGCATCTGTGCCCAATATCCTGAGAGAAAAATGGAGAAGGGATTTGCAGCATGGCCATCCTCCCTGGGGAGGGGGGTGGGTTTCTCTCTTTCTTTCTCTCTGGTGACTAGATATACCCTCTAGCAAAAATTTCCCTCTCTCTAAAAAAAAAAAAATTAAATTAAATAAGTATAAAAGTGAAGATAATGATTTGTAATATATTACTAGGAGAAAATTTTTAAAAAGAGGAAACTCATTTTCAACAACCAAAAAAAGTCTTTCTTCCTAGCAAATTTTGGTTATGATCATTTCAGTGACTAAATTCATGGTTGTCTTTTTTTAAAACCAGAATCTTCTTATTCTATTCTCTAGTAGCAGTTAAATTAATTTTCTATTGAGTCTCAGAAATAAATTTTGCAGCACCAATCCATTCCTCACCCCTATGTGTAGAAACATGAGAACTCATATTTTAGACTTCAGCTGATCTATGATGAAATAGTTTACAGAAGGCAGCATTGTTCAGGAGGTGGTGAAAACCAGAAAAGCCAGTTTGGGGACAAAAGTATTTTTATATCATTATCTACTTTAAGCTACTTCTAATGTAAAGCTCTTTAGTTGTTATTAATTCTCCTGACATCCATTATCAGTGTTAATTTTGTAGTGTGCACAAAATTTCCGTGATATGTAAATTTGAGGGATCTCTAAAGAACTTCAGTGAAGGATAAGCTAGAGTTGCATTATTTATGTAAAACACAGCTCTCTTTCCTAAAAGGCGCTGTGAATTTTTTTTTGACACTCTCTACTTTATAGTCATTTTCACATTTTATTTCTCTAAAAAAGACATTCTTAATGTGCTTGTGATGCTCTGCCATTAATCCAATAGCTTGCAATTTCACTAAGAGCCTTCCACAGTCCACAGTGCAAAAAGCCACTTAGTAAGGTTGCCAAAACCAGAGCCAGAGGATTACCTGATCCAGTTAACAATCCGTCAGCTTCAATCTCACTTACTCCATTGTAATAAAGATCAATAAAGTCAGACACTAATAAAACTACTGAAATCAGTGATGGATAATGGTGATTCTGCAAATGGACGACAGTTGATGTTCTTCCACTTTGGTCCACTTGCTAAAAAGTTATTACTCTTCATCTAGACATTTGGGAAGTTTCTGTTAACAGTACTACACGTTTTAGATGTGGGCTCTGTCTTCCTTCTTAGAAATGTATGGAATACCTAAATTTTGCTGAGATTTTTTACTAATTTTCTATCTATTACAGTCTGCCCATTTTTCTATCTAGGAAATCTATTCTTTGCTGCATACCTACTATGTACCTGGTTGATATTAAAGATAAAAGAAGGATAAGACACTATCTCTGCCTATAAAAGTATACTATGTAAATGTAGAGATCATTTTAATTTAATGCAATTCAGTGCACCAACAGTGGAAAGTATATGGGGGGGTGGGGTGGGAGGAAAAAGAATCCACAGTATATGAAAAAGAGTCTGAAAAAATTGTGTAAAACTAGAACCCATATATAATAGACCTCTGTGGTTAACTACTGACCCCGTGTGGAAAATAATATCCATGTGGGCATCACCAGCAATGCATCCTCCTACCCATGTTTACCCCTGACTTGGTAAGTGCTGTCCTTCAGTGATTTTTGTGGATGCTGTGGAAATCTGACTCATGTAAATATTAGGACATAAATCGAAAGGCTCATACACAGGTTACAATGCATGCTGATGACCTTCTGAATTCCTGATCTTCCCATGCTCTTGGAAGACTAGGAAACAGCCCACAATTCAGGTAACTTGAGGTCACTTCTGTATTATGAGAACAATCTGCAATATTCTGTCTAATTAAATCGCTCATATAGCCACTTCACGAGGCTTGTTTTTTCCCTGTGGTAAAAGCCTTGCTGAAGGCTTAGGCATGGCGTCTGGGCAGACCAGTGACCTTCGGTGGCAGAGAAGGGAGACCACAGAGTCTTGTGGTGCACAGGGGGTCTGAAAGAGCATATTCAATACCATCATCTTCAATCTAGGAAAATCAGAAACAAACCCCTACAGTTTTGATGACACAATAACAGAAATTCAAGATTTGTAGCATTCTTCTCAGTGTTGGGGCTATAGAGGCAGACAGAAGACACAGTTCCATGTTTTAAAGGAGAAAGGCTTGGGATCCCATGTTAATTCAAAGGAGGCCATTTTGGAAAGATGGCGGCACTGTGAGTGGGGCTCCCTACTGGTTTGCGACCCAATGCTTACACACATTAAATATGCACTGAGTTTTCATCTGCTGAAACAGAAAGCAATAAATCTGCATTCAAGTCCAAGACGTGTGACACACTGGTGCTGTGGCCTGGGCAGCTAGCTGGCCTTGCCAGCCCTGTTTCCTGTGCTGCATGGAAACAGCAGTGGCATTCACTCTGCGAGGTTCTTCTGAGAATCTATTCACTCAGGAATTTCTTTTTTATCCATTCAGGGTGTACGTACTGAATTCCTACTATGTGCCAAGCACTGGGCAGATCACTGGGAAAATTAAAACTTAGAAGAAGCATGATACCTACCCTTGGGGAGACAATAAATAAAATAATGAACAGGATATGATGCGCACCAAGCCTGGAACCCATCACGTATGAACTGAAGAGATGTCGGTTCCTCCGACCACAACCCCGTCTCCTCCTCCTCACTGGGCTTGTATTATAGTCACACTTCACATCAGTTGACCATGCTTTTAACAAACAGGAGATGACCAGAACAACTCTTCAAATGATGTATTTCAAGTAAAATAAAAATATCTTATGAAGGACAAAGAGAGTACTAATTAAATTGTTAAGTTCCAAGTCAGAGCAAGGGAGAGCGGGGGAAGACAGCAAGAAGGATTGCCATTTGTCTCCTATTCCAACTTAAGGGTATTTTCTGCAACTGGCCTGTATCTGTGAGCTGGCATCAGAAAGACACGAAGCAGTCCTCTGCCTTAGATGACCCACCCACGCCCGCAGCCATCTCCAGCTAACAGCTGCTCATCCTCCAGGTACCTCTCAGGTACCAGGCTCCCACGAGGCCTTCGCTCACTTCCCAAACACCCCGCCCGCGATGCCACCACGGCACTGTCGTGCTGCTGACTGTCTACCACTCTGTGACCTTTAGTTCTCGCTGCAACTCACTGCAGGGCTGGGCACATAGTGGGGGATGGAAAAAGGGTCACTAACAAGTCATTACCGCGGACGCCCGACAGTCCTCCTCCCTTCTCTCCTTAAAGGTCAAAGGGTTGATTTTCACATGAATTTTTTAAATCCATCACTTCTAGCTGTCATGATAGAAAACATAGTTTCAAAAACCTTTGTTCATTAATTTGCAAGAGATCCCTTCCCAGGTTTTCAAAATACATCCACACAGATGTCTCGGAAGTTGCAATGCTTGGTGGCTATGTTATTCCAATTCTCTCTGGGTGTCTATTTATATAAGCTCTCCGAAGCACTTTGAAAAGACACCACTCGTATGGCACACTTCCTGTGCGGTGGCCAGTCTGTATAAGACATCCATGTTCAGGGAATAAAATAATTCGGCAGACAAGAGCCAGCCGGTTGAAATTCCAAGTTCAAACACTCTACACCATACACCAACCCCATGAACAGGCCACGGCTTCCAGGATTGGGAAGTTGGCAGAAATTGGCTGTGGGTCTCCTAACCCCAGTGTGACACAATATTCTCATCCTAGGAGCCAAGTTGTAAGCTTTTCTAAGATCCATAAAGCACATGTCTACTCCCTATGAGGAGCTTCGGTTCTTTCTGAGAGTCTGCTCAAGTTCCGATCTGAAAGAGTGCCATCTTCGCAGAAACCCCAGTCCTCTAGAATGGTGCCATCTGCCACGAGCCGAGCTTCCTTTTCAGCCAAATACATTATTTATAACCTTTCTAATTGTGAAAAGGTAATGGTGGCATGTTTCTAAAGCCTGACTTAAAGACCGTCAGAATACTCGGAACCTTTGCTCTAAAACATGGCAGGGCTTTAAATTTAAAAAAAA